ATATATATATATATATATATATATATATATATATATATATAAAACACTCATACATTTCTCTAGAGGCTGTAAACACTTTAAAACTGGGAAAAAGACATACAATATTTCATCAAGAAACTTTTCTCAGAATCTATCATAAAAATAAATTTATTTAATATATTTTAAAGTTTATTCATATATACATGAAAGGAAATTATATACATAAATTACATATAATATATAATCATATAATATAAATTACATAATATATATGGTTTGTGTATTTTAGCATGGAGAATTCTTAACATAAAAAATCATATATTAAAAATCAACTGTTATTAAGTCAACAATTACAACAGCCATCCAAACTAATATATTTGCTTACATACTAAATCAGTTCACAGAAAAGTATTTCAGTGTGTATTCCAAGCTGTTGAAGCTCATGTTGATGTATTCAAGAATAAGAATTAGAGCTAAACTGTAATATTAATTTTTTTCAAATATTCTGTTCTTTACTAAATAGCAATTGAGAATATTATATATCAAATTTGCAAACTTTATAACATTCAAAGATGCCATTTTCAATTGACAGTTAAATCATTTCCAATCCATGTACAAAGTCTTTCAATATTTTTATATTACACAAAAACAGCTAAAATGACATAATCATATGTTTATAGTTGTTATTTCTGGAAAATGCAGATAATTATCTTTGTCTGCTTTATACCTCTACATTATCAGAATTTTTCTGTACATACAGAAAATTTTAAATCTGACAATACAGTTACTTAAATGAATGTTAGCTCATTTTTTTCCAGTTCTTTAAAAAGCATCATGTGTGAAGACAATATAGATATCTTGTTTTGGTAGAAACTATTTGTCCCATTTCTAAAATCTTTTGTTATTTTACCAAAAATAAATGTATAGCTGACTTCGTTGAAAATTATGTATTCTTTTTTTTTAATTTTATTTTATTTGTGAAGATACTGTACAGAGGGGTTACAATTACATGGGCAGGATAGTGCGTACATTTCTTACCAAGCATTGCAGCCTCTTCCTTTTGTTTACCCTTCACATCCCTTCCCAGCCTCCCCCCTCTTCCCCAATCCCAATCCTTCTCCTTTCCCCCCTTACCCCCCCTCCCGCACCGACGTTGTTAAGCTCGTTTTGGACATGACAACTTGTACTTCTCATTGTTGCAACAGGTCCACCTGTATCTTTAAACAACTGGTTTTTCCCCATCTCCTCCTCAAGTTATACTGACATCAAATATAGTGAAAGCATGGGTTATACTGTGGGGGAGGGACATACAAAACAACAATGAATAATCTTATAAATGCATTAGAAACACATGCATGAAAAAAACATTAAAATACATATCTAAGTGTTCATTTTCCTGACATCATGTTTTAAACTGTCACAATACTACATGACATAGATCACCTGCTTCTGAATAAGTGTCCATTCTTTAAGTATTTCTCTTGAACAAAACCATCTCTAGATTTATTTTAAACTGCTACTACAAAAATAAACTTTTTTAAAAAACAAAGAAGAATTTCTTAAGCACATTTTTCTGCTTGCATTAGGTTTTCCATTGCTTCTAGCTTCCAGGCATCCACACATTAAGCAAGATCAATAACTAAAATTAGGGCTGCTATTTTTAAACCAAAGAAAGGTCTTGCTCTAAATCCTGTGGAATATATTTTCATTTTCTTAAGTGTCTGAAGAGGCAGACAGAATATATAAAGCTATTCTAGACCTTAGGCTTATAACCCAGGTCCATGGATTGATGTTTTGGAAAACTCAAACCTTAAATACACTATTGCCAGGCAAATTTATGATTATTTTATTTTTTTTGGAAATTTTTCTATATATTTTTATTTTATTCTCAAAGTGATCTGTATACTCCTCATAAGATCAATGAACCTTCACCAGGTGCACAAGCCTTATTTTTTCTGCTATGATTTAGACAGGTGTAGGTAGACAGTGCACTCATAGCTGACATGGTGCCACA